GAAATACGCAAACCCAACATGTACCTTTGGAGACACCTGTAGAGCACCTTTATAATCACCCATTTACATTGTGACGTTTGGTAGCACACAAAGTGTTCCTCCGGCAAATGGGAGTTGCATAATCTCATAGTCATAGGAACATGTATAAGTCATGAAGAAAGCAATAGCAACATACTAAACGATCGGGTGCTAAGCTAATGGAATGGGTCATGTCAATCAGATCATTCACCTAATGATGTGATCCCGTTAATCAAATAACAACTCCTTGTTCATGGTTAGGAAACATAACCATCTTTGATTAACGAGCTAGTCAAGTAGAGGCATACTAGTGACACTTTGTTTGTCTATGTATTCACACATGTATTATGTTTCCGGTTAATACAATTCTAGCATGAATAATAAACATTTATCATGATATAAGGAAATAAATAATAACTTTATTATTGCCTCTAGGGCATATTTCCTTCAACTGGGATGTGTCGAAAGTTGCTTGGGTGCATGTTCAGTCTGATAATGAGTTAGGTGCCATGTTTGCAAATAATGCACAAACCATGTCATGCAATCTGGAAATCAATGTTATTCAGAGGCGTAGGCCCCCCTTTGGTTCAGAAAATAATTCAAACCCCCATGCTTCAAGGCCCTCTGATTCTAAAGCATCTGCAAAACCTAGGACTAACACAAGGGGAACAAGTAGCAGTTGCAGGCCACCTACAACCCCAAGTGCAAATGCTCAGTCTGAGCATTCTTGCAGTAAAACCCAAGCTAAACCTAGCATACCAGTTGATCCTGTTGTGGAGGAAGCAGAACCTGATGCAACACTTTTGTGTGATGAAGAAGATGAGAAACTTTATCTAGGCTATGGTCAGCACAACAATGAGGAAGATCATGTAGATGAGGAGTACATTCCTGCTGAATTCTCTGATACAGATGAAGATGAGAAGCAGGAGGACCTGGACAATGGAGATTTTCAAGCTGAAGATGAGGACAGACCTGTCATGATGTATGACAGAGATAATACCTCTATTGGGGAAGGTGTAGTTTTTCCATCAGCAATTGACTGCAGAAATGCAGTTGCAACTTTCTCAATTACCACTGAAACAGAGTACATCACTTTGAAAAGTGACCAAAGAAGGTTTACTGTAAAATGTGCCTCTGATAGATGTAAGTGGAGGCTGCATGCCTCTTTAATGAGGAGAAGCACATTATTTCAGGTACTAATGCATCTTCTATTTTCCTTTTTATAATTATTGTTCAAAATTTATGTTTCATGTACTAATTGCTATTTTTTTAACAGATTAAGGTCAACCCTTACCCTCACAACTGTCCAAGTGTTAACAGATCTCAGAGATTGAGGGCTGCAAAGAGAAGATGGATAGCTGATGCTTCTATGGCTTGGATTAGAAAAAATCCAGGGATAGGTCCAAAGGAAATTCAGCACAGGTTGACAGAGAAGTATGGAGTGGAGGTGCCATATAGTAGGTGTTATTTTGGTAAAGAGATGGCACTAGATAAGATGTTTGGCAAGTACAGTGATAGTTTCAATCTGATTTATTCATTCAAGGCTGAAGTTGAGAGAACATCACCAGGCAGTGTAGTTGAAATTGACAAGCACACTGTGGAATACTTATTGAGAGGAAAGAAACTGCACAATGAGTGTTTCAGAAGAGTGTTTGTGTGCTTCAAGGAATGTCAGACATGTTTCTTGGAGGGGTGCAGGCCTTACCTTGCTGTGGATGCAACAGCACTGAATGGTAGGTACAGGGGCCAGCTTGTTTCTGCTTGTGCCCTTGATGCACACAATTGGTTATTTCCAGTTGCCTATGGTGTCATAGAAGCAGAGTCAATTGAGAGTTGGACTTGGTTCTTCCAACAACTGAAGAAAGTAATAGGACATCCAGAAGGTTTAGTCATACATACTGATGCATGCAAAGGATTGGAGATAGCTGTTGATGATGTATATGCTGGGGTGGAGCACATGGAGTGTATGAGGCATTTGGCTCAAAACTTCAGCAAGAAATTCAAAGGCAAGTTCTATGATGAGAATTTGTGGCCATGCTCACTTACATACAACATTAAAAAGCACAATTATCATCTGAATCAGTTGCACAGTAGGCCCAAAGTTAAAGAATATTTAGAGGAGCATCACACAAAAATATGGGCTAGAGCACACATCAATGACATTTGCAAGGTAGACTATGTGAACAACAACCTTGCTGAAGCTTTCAACTCAAGGATTAAGAAATACAAGGGACTTCACATAGTTGACTTGTGTGACAAGATCAGGCAGTACATTATGCAAAAATTTGATATAAGGAACAGGATTGCCATTGATCATTTTGAAGGCCATCTCATTGTTCCATCTGTGATGAAGGCCTTAATGGCAAAAACAAAAGGTTTAGAGATGAGTTTGATTAGGAGAATCCCAACAGAGGCTGAAGTTACTGCTACTGATAGAGAAAAAAGAGAATGGAGGTACCCTGTTGACTTACAGAAGTGGTCTTGTAGTTGCAGACAATGGCAAGTAACTGGTAAGCCATGTATCCATGCTCTGTTCTTTATCACTTCTCTTAGAGGTGAAGCCAGTGGAATAGATCAGTATGTGCACAAGTTTTATTCTGTTGAGAAATTCAGAGCTACTTATGCTGACAACCTTCCAGCTTTGGAAGGGAAGCAACAGTGGGAAACTGTGAATCCAGGATTTAAACTTTCTGCTCCAGTTCAAAACAGAGCACCTGGCAGGCCGAGGAAAACTAGAATTAGGTCCACTACTGAAGGAAAAGGACTAGGTCCTAGGAGGAAAAAATGTGGCAGGTGTGGAGGACGAGGACACCATGCCAACAAATGCAAAAATTCAGTTGATGCAGCCTTTGGTGAAGATGAACATTGCGGAGCTGAGAATGCAGAAGAGCCAGCAGTGCAAGTGGCAGCAATGGAAGTAGATGATGGAACAGATGCAGAAGATCCACCACAAGAGCAACCTATAGAGCCAACACCAACATCTACACAAGCTACTATAATCAGGTGATGTTTGTGTATGTTTTTGTATATATGTTTGTTTTCATGCACTATCATATGAAATGTGACATGCTTGCACTTTTCACAGCCCAAGAAAGAATTATAAGAAGGCAGCAGATAGAGGAGCTTCTCCAGCTAAGTAGCAGACAACAACAATTGAAGTTCCTGGTGTGCTAGCCCCCAACCCAGCAAAGAACACCAGGAGCAAAACAAGGCTAGCCCCCAATCTAGCTGAGAACACCAGGAGCAAAAAACTCAAGTTTTAGGTCTTCATTTGCACTTGCTGGTGACTGTTTGAGATGACTGTATGTTGAACTAGTATTTTCACTTGTTGTTGAACTACTGTTTGAGATGTCAGGATGTTGAACTAGTATTTTCACTTGCTGTTGAACTACTGTTTGAGATGTCAGGATGTTGAACTAGTATTTTCACTTGCTTTAATTTGAAGTTGTTTGATCATATGTGATGCTTGCTATGTCATGCTTTAATTTGAAGTTGTTTGATCATCTGCCAATATGAAGCAAATTGTCGTCGTCAACGACAATTTGGTCATCTCTCTAGTCATCTGCTAATATGAACCAAATTGTCGTCGACAACGACAATTTGGTCATCTCCCTAGTCATCTGCCAATAAGAACCAAATTGTCGTCGATGACGACAATTTGGTCATCTCCCTAGTCATCTGCCAATAAGAACCAAATTGTCGTCGACGACGACAATTTGGTCATCTCCCTAGTCATCTACCAACATGAACCAAACTGCAGAAATTTAGAACACCAAATAGCATTACATTAGGATTGGTACATTACAAAGTTCATCCATATCCTGCACTACAACAACAATAAACATACTTGCTTCACTTAGTGGCTTGATTCTGTGATAACACTGATAAAGCCACAACTACAACACATACAACAATTCCACTAAACAACACTGCCCAAACATTGAGCATCTCATCTCTCTCCTTCAGTTTCTTGTCAAAGCACGGTTCTTCTTTGATAGCTCCGTATTTTCCCTCTGCAATTTGTGAGACTTGATCCAGCTGCGTTCAATCTCTGCATGTAGATCTTCAAATGCAAGGGCCACACACAGTGGAGGAGGAGGGTCAACCCAAACCACCCACTTGCACTCATCTGGCAACTAATTAGATGAACAAAATTAGAAATTTCAAAATAACAACAACCTCCCAAATTGACAAGCAACTACTTACATCAAGAGGGCAACCCAAAAATCGTCGGCCCGTGCTAGCCCCTCCCCAAGCCACCCGACGAGCAGGAACTAGGCCATGTCCAGGGCAACGGTGCTTAGATCTAGGCTCCAAGCCGGAAAATGATTCGTCTGGGTGATGGTACTGCGAGACGAGCTCCACAATCCCCATCCCATCGATCTAAATCAGAAGAAGAGCAAAAAAATCCCCAAATCAGAGAAACCCTAGAATGAGGGGGTCAAATGGTTGAAACCCTAGAAAATCCCCAAATCCCCACAGAGTGCTCCACTTACCTCTACGGCAGTAGAACCAGCCGCCGTCGAGGAGTTTGACGACGGGAAGCTTGTCGTCCGCATCTTCTCCTCCCGCTCGGGCCTCTCCCACGGCGGCTCTCGATCCCGTTCTTCACGAGCTCTCCCACTCTCTGTTTGTTTCTGCACGAGAGCTCGAGGAGGACGAAGGGGTATCGGGGCTGGGGACACAGGGGCAAAAATGTCCAAAACGGAGCGCCGTATGTGGTCAAACGGCGCTGACCAAGCGGAGCCGTGACGGAAGGGCAAAAACGAAAGAATTCCAAAGTGGTGTGGACAGAACCGATGACTTTCTCAAACTAGGGGTAAAACAGACGAGGGGGACACAACTAGAGGCATAAATCAAATTGTCCCTTAGAAATAAGCCAGCCTAATTCATTCCACCATGGATCAATCGGACACTACTCCCCTTAGTTATTAGCTACTCGCGGCTGCTGGTGTTGCTGGGCGCTCCGTCACTGCTGCTTCTTAGTCGCTGTTCGCCGCCACGCCGTCGAAGCTCTCGCGGTTGCTGGGCGCTCCCGCTCCGTCACTGCTGCCCTTGCACACGAAGAACACCACCACCTGCGCCACCAGGCCCGCCATCACCGCCGCCCACAGCGCCACCGCCATCACCACCCCCGCGGCCACCCGGTGCAAGACGCCGAGGCCCATCCTGTTGTCCACCACCAACACCCCCAAAGCAAGCTGTACGACCAGCACCGACATTACGCATGCGACGCGCCACACCGTGCCGATGCGCGCCGCCGCCGCTCCGGCGAGGTACCCGGCGCCGATCAGCAGCAGCATCGCCCGCGACAGCTGCGCGCTGCTCTCTTCACCCGGAGCAGCGGTGAGGAGGTAAGGGCGCGTGATCCAGGCGGCGGCACCGAAGAGGGTGGTGTAGCCGACGAGGTGGAGGAAGGCGCCGAGGCAGGTGGCCACGAGGCGCCAGGCAACCTTGGGGCCGGTCCAGACCAGGCCCGCGGTGCAGAGAGAGTTGCCCCGGAACACAGACACGACGTACCTGGCGAGGAACCCGGGGACGGCGCGGAGGTCGCGCGCGATTGAGCGGGCGTCGGGATCGTCGGTTACGCCATAGCGCGGGGCGACGGAGAAGATGCAGAAGGCGGCGGAGCCGAGCGACTGGACGAGGATGGCGAGGAGGCAGGCCGCCTCATCGAGGAAGAAGAGTTCCCAGTTCGTGGCGAAACGGACGAGGCCGGCGCCAGCGTCGGAGGAGGCGACACCGTCGGAGAGGAGCCTATAGAGGGCGCGAGCGATGGCGACGTGGGCGAGCAAGGACACGGAGAGCGTGATCACCATGCTGACCATGAAGGAGAAGCCCGGACGGCTGGAGCGGATGACGCGGACGGTCTCGCGGCAGATGCCGGCAAGCTCAAGAGCCCGGAGAGCGGCGTCCTCTCGGTCACGCTCCATGAACCGGTTGTTGCTGAGGAAAAGCGAGGAGCTGAGCAAAGGGGAAAAGCAACAGAGACGAGGGATAAAAAAAATGAGATCAGGCCAAGGGCTAATTCTAGTTGATTTGTTTATAGGAGAAACTCCACGAGGGCCGCGTGTTAGAGCCGAGACTCGAACCCGAGCAGGCTAGCACCAGCACAAGAGGTCATATATACACATTTGCTGTAAAATATGTGAAAATTAGTCAATATATAATTAGAAATGCGCAAATTTAGTTGAAGGTAACCACACAACTTTATAATGGTCAAATCTGAATTTTGAGATTTTTCTCAATTTTTTGTGGAAACTTTTTTTGGCCAAATTTGACCCAAAATGGCTCTGAATTTGATTTTTTTTCTACTTGGCAAAACTTGTTGAAACTTTCCCAGATTGGATATAATGGTTGCATGAATATTTGAGAAAAAAATCAACCTTTTTTGGAACGTTTTTTGGCAAAAATTTGACCCAAATGGCTCTGAATTTGAATTTTGGCTCTCATTTTTTCTCAGCTTGGCGAAACTTGTTGAAACTTTCCTTGATTGAATATAATGGCTGTTTGGCTTTTTGAGAAAAAAATTCAAAATTTCTGAGGACTTTCATTTTCTAGTCGAATATTTTTGCAGCATTATACTTAGCTAGCATTAGGCCATGACTTGGCGCTGACTAGGATGTTGACTGGTCAAACTGGTCAAAACAGTCAAAAACCACCCAGAGTTCCTTTTGTCCGGTCTTGAAAGTTCACGGTTGTAAATTAGATGGTTTCGTAGTTCAGAATCGTGTTTTAGACTTTGATGGTAGTTTGAGATTGTAGTATGACTTCTCTTTTGATTATATACGGAGTGAGATGGGGATGACCAAAGTTGAATGTTGATAAAAAGGCATAGAAAAGCAAAAACTTGTGAACTGATGGTCCATGTGTTATTCGTGTTCCAAGTGTCATCGTTTTCTCATGACTGCGTCTTCTTCTACCCCCAATGAAAATGGGAGGAGAGTCGACAAGAAGAGCAACGACGAGGGAGCCAAGACTAGAAGGGCTAGTTGTGGATAGGGGTTTTAACAGTTATCAAAGAAGAGTGTGTGCTCCATGTGCATCGAGACATGGCCTGCATACCGGCTATCGAGGCGGGTCATGTAGAGGGTGTGACAGAGAAGACGAGCGAACCGGTGGCTAAGGAACCGAGTAGGAGTCATGGAAAATTAGTGAAAGGACGGCCCCCGACAATGGAAGAGGTGCACCAATTTGTGTGCATTGTCCAATGTTGAAGGTTCGCCAATTTGTTCATTACATTGTGTGCATGATTCATGTAGACAATATTAAGCACCAAATATTACGAATCCGGCCGCCTTGTTATAGAGCAATGCAAATTAAAAAGAAACACTCTGATACGCGAAAACGGCACATCACTCTGATACGCGAAAACGGCACATCACCTTGACTGCTGAAACCAGAAAATGAGTAGTATAGGATTTCACCACAACGGATGAAACTTTTTATGGTATTTAGCCCTGGCCAGTAAGAGCATCTCCAGCCGTTCGGCCCTCAGGAGGCGCTAAAAATCGCCCTCTAGGGGCACACCGGCGCAAAACCGCGTGCTGGGGCGTGATGCCCCTCAGTCGCGGCGTCCATATTTTTTATATATTTAAATTCGGCACAAACACGACGCAAATTCAATCAAATTTCGGCGAGTTCATACATATTTAAAAATATTTTTAAAAAAGAAAAAAACTACTAGGCCCGCCGTCTCGCTCGTCGCTCCTCGCCGCCCGCCGCCCTTGCTCTACATGCCGAGGAGGCGGTAGAACTGCGTGTAGTCGCCGCCGCCGCCGCCGCCGTCGTCGTCACCTCCTCCGCGGCCGCCGTCCCTGCTGCACCCCTCCCCTGGTTGGCGCGGCGGGTTGGACGGTCCGGGGGCGTCCTTGTCGTCGAAGCTGTCGAGGATGACGACGCCGTGCTCGTCCTCGCGCCCACGCCTGCGGGCGGCAATCTCCTTCAGGGCCCGGCATTGCCGGACCGTCTCCTCGCGGAGGTAGTCGTCCCGCGCCCACCGCGGGGCGTCCTCGTCGGAGATGTCGCGCCGAGCTATCTCCTCGTACTCCGCGGGAAGACCGGGCTCCGGCTTCGGCCTGACGAGGACGAGGCGACCAGAGGGGGATGGAGTCGGCGATGCGAACGCCGGAGCTACAGGTGCGGCGGCTGACCGGCGTGTCCTGGGGCTCCGGCTTGATGGGGTGGAGGCAGGGAGAGCCGCTGGACGAAGAGGAGGTCGCCCCCGGGTCCATGCGCCTCGGCGTCCACGAGCTCCCACGCCGGCGGGAGAAGGACGGGGGAGCGGGGTACTCCAGCCGTGGCGTGTTGCCGCCCTCGATGTACTCGAGGACGGCCTCCAGCGTGCGGCCTGGCACGCCCCACCATCGGCGGCGCCCGTCGGCGTTGAGCCTCTCGGAGGGCACGACGCCGTTGGTGGCCTCGAGCTGCTCGGCGTGGCGGCAACGAAAGTAGGTCTCCCACAGAGGGCTATCGGGGATGTACCGCGGCCCTTCCCTCACCGCCTGCGGCAGCGAGGTGCAGATACGCGCGATCTCCGCACGCCTCACCGCCCCGATGGGCGGTGATGGCACCGGGACCCCGCCGGCGCTGATCCTCCACGCCCCGGACACCCGCATGTCCGGTGGGACCGGGTACTCGGCCTCGTAAAGGAGCCGAGCTTCATCTTCGTGAAGATTGCGGCGGCCGAAGCCGTTCGCCGCCGCGGCGTCGCCTGGGAAGTGCTCAGTCATGGGTGATGAACTGGAGACGGCGAGAGAGAGGAGAGGGAGGAACGGCAACGGCGAGAGAGTGCGAGTCTCCTCCTTCGGCGCGCTGGGGCGCGTCTTATATAGGCCGAGGCGCCGCCCGTACGCGTGCCGCCGTGTGTACGCGTGGCGGGCGAGAGACGCGCTTCATCCGGTCTTCACTGCGCCGCCCGTGAGGCATCAATGGCGCAGGCTGACCGGCGCGGCAGCGCGCGGCAGCTTTGGCATTGATTCGCCGCGGGAAACAAGGCGATGCGGACAACGAAGCGGCGAGAAGAGAGATGAGTCGCTGGCGAGAAGGGCGCGCGGCTCCTTCGCGCCAATATGATTCGCCCGGCGACCCCGAGCGCGCCGGGTTCATGTTGGATCCACCGGCGCTAATTTCGGCCCGAGACGGCGAAAAACGGATTATTGAGAACGCGACTAGACTAATTTTTCAATGTCGATGGCCGAAAAGTGACCTGAGGGGTCTTGTTGAGGGCGCGCCTGAAGATGCTCTAACTAATACACCGTGTAAACTGGCTTCTTCGGAACGAGCCATCACGAATGACCTGTTCTGCTGGGCACAAGCCTAGAGAGGTACTAATGACACCCCACATGCATGGCCGGCCAGCAGCAGCGGCCATCATCGCGCTACTCACAAAACGAAACCAACCGGCTTGTGATAGCAGACGTGGACGGTGTCAGTTTCGAAGCTAAAAACGGCATGGCCTTTTGACTATGTGCACCACTTGGTGTTTGCAAGCCATCTTAGGAAGCCGGGAGGCCATATCCATGGACCAGCTCAGGGAGCTCACCGTCAGTCTTTCGGCGAGCGACCACTGATTAGTGGTTACTGTGGGCGCTGAAGAGTGAAGAGCGCCATCGCGACACTGTGGGCGGTGAAGAGCACCGTCGTGAAAAGAGAACACCCACATCGTACAAGATGGAAGCTCTTCCACGTCCCAACAAACCAAAAACTTGGCACGTCTCACAAGTGGGTGTATTGGGCTATGGGCCATTCGTTATGACGCTTGTGGTGAGACGAGCTATAAGTGAGGCACAACCCTAGATTCCGGTTGGAGGAGCTGAAGTCCAGGGGTGTGTGGCTCTAGGCAGTTGTCAAACATGCATTTAGGCTGGTCATAGTAGAGAGTAATTAATACTAGTGTCATACATATGATACTACACTAGTCTAAATTACTATTTTTATAGTGTAAAATAATATAGTAGTAGTGTCATAGATGAGTTCATTTATTAGCTTGTAGACTTATCTTGTATTGGGAAGCACTATGTTACAGTAAAATATTATGTTACTACTTCTTATTAACTACTTGCCACATAAGTAAAAAAAATTGGAGTGCGCTATGTTACTCGCTAAGTTACTCCCACTATGACTAGCCTTATATTCGTCGAGTAGTCATATGGATCAAGTCTGAAATATTTATGATGAAATATCTCAAAGACCTTTGTAGACTTATAATTTGTTCTTATGGAACACCTCAAAGATCTTTGTAGACTTATAATTTGTTCTTATTGTTAAAAATGTCAAATGTCCGAAGCTTAATGGTATATCATCGTAGTTTCATGGGGAAAATATCTGATACCAACCCTTACATGCTCCCATGATACCAATTAAAAAAAAATGTTTCACGAATTCTAAAAAAAATCACAAGTGTTCACTAGACATGTGTCTACAATCCTAAACTTTTCAAATCAAAATTCAAAATACAGATGGAGAAACAAAAAAGAGAAATTCAGGTGTGAATAGTATCTTTTTGTCTTCTTTTGACATTATTCATCATATATTTATCTTTTTTGTTTCTCAATGTGTATTTTAAGTTTGATCTGAGTTTCTTAGGGGTTTGGACACATGTAATCCGAGCATTCCCATTTTTATTGTTTTAAACATTTAAATTTGAATTTTTTAAATTGATAGCATGGGAACATGTAAGATTTGGTATCACTTGATACTTTCCTATAGTTTCTTACTAGCTTTTATTGATTATATGTGATGATACATTGTAAATGTTGGTACCAATAAACTACGGTATATGAGAGCTTATGCCTCAATTTGTGGCATGAAAATGAAAAGAAGTTGAATGACAAACTACAAAAAAGATTGTTACGCACAACGGTTACACCGTCATGCGCTAGCAAACTTGTTCCACCTTAAGTATTTAACCAAAAACTACCATATTTCATGG